AAGTCACTAAGAGAGAAAGGGGGAAGATAGAAAGTGTTCCTCCCTCCTTCTCTTTAATTTCCTTTTCAACATTAAATCTTCTGCTGCAGTGAGGAGGCGGTGGGTGTTAATCCATAACAAATTACATTCAGTCAGATAAAAAGATTTTGTTTGGTTTTGTAACTTTCTTATTTGTTGGCTAAAATTCTTTATTTCCTGACAATTTCACAATGCATTTCTCCATCCTTGAGGTAGGTCTTGCTATTTGGGCCAAAAGCAGAAAGACACATTGAAGGACACTGATTAAAGAGACAAGTAAAACCACATTTTATAGTCAATGACTCACACGACACTGCACACACTGCACAAAAATAATCATTTTATAAAGTAATTTATTTGACAGTTGAGTCCAAAACAGAATTTCCAACAAATCAGTTTTTACACTGGCTTACATTAACACACTGGCTTAGAGACTTAACTAACCTTACCCATAACCATTACTAGCCTGACCCTAACCCTGACCCTAACCTTAAACCATGTTGTCACCCTAAAATTCAGTGACTTTACACTGTGGGTTCCAGCTCCAGATCCCATAATGTGAGTAATACCAAGGGACCACACACACAGTACAGACCTCCTTCTGTATGTGACATTTTGTTTTGCTCTAAATGAAGATAATTCTTGGTCATTCAACAGTGACTGGTTACAACAATGCAAGGTTATGTTACAACGGCCATGTTGCTTCTGAGCAGCCACCAAATTATACCCAAGACACCACATTATGTGGATCACTGTCTGACCATTAGTATGCCAGGAGCACATGGCCATAATTATGAAAATATGCCCTTGCCTTAATCTAAGATGATGGAAATGATCCCCTTAGGACACTAGTTCTCTGCTATTATAATCCTCAGATAACCATCTCAGGAAAACATGATGCTCTGAGTAGAATTAAACCTGTCAAAATATTTTGCTTTTGTCCCCGCTGACAGGCGTGCTGTCAGAGCTCGTCATCATTTACACAGCTTATACCAGGTGGCATCACGTCACCATTTGTTTTCCCAAGTCTCAACCAAAATTCCTTCTGACACATCATCACAAATCCGAGAGGTGACAGCAATCCGAGAGGTGACAGCAGCGGGCACCGCGGCTAGCCTCTAATGGAAAGTAATGAAAAGCCATGTCGATATAGTTTAGCCAGGAGCCTACTGTCAGTGGGGGGTGGGGGGGTTGTTCAGGGTTACTGATTTAACCCTGAACCTTATTAAAGGAGGATTTCACGGTCCTGTTTAGCCTGTTTTACCTGTTTGTGTTTTGCATATTTGAATAAATGCGATACTCTCCTGGGCTTTAATACTAGGCAGTTCTTCCAAATGAGAGACAGAGACAGAAAAATGCTGGAAACTACAAAGCTTGTCAATTATCTTTTTATTAAATCTAGTGGCAACAGCAATTGTTAGAGTCAGTTGTTTTTCTGCTGCTTGGCAATAATTGGCTTGTTTTGCTCCACACTGTGTGGTTTGTGGGAGAAAACACAGTGACTAACTCTTTGCAGATAAACACAGAAAATAAAACCTTCAAAACATACATAAAAACAGCTTTAGGGTCCAGGTAGGCTGGTAAAGTTTTATGATCTGAAACTGTATAATTTCACATTTTGAAAGGAGCAAATGGACTTCTATCATCAAGATAATACTTTCTTTAGCTTCAGGAATATGAAAGAAGGTCTCCAAAAGCAAAAGCAAATAGGCTTTGGACTGCAGTCTCAGTCACGA